TGCCACTAGCTACGACAGAGGCTACACAGGAAGAAACTTTAAAATAAAAATTATTATCGAGAGTATCAAAATTCAAAAGATAATATGTAGTTGTACACCATAAAAACCTGGCATAAAAAAGGTTTGGGAACAAAAGGAATAACTGGACACTAAAGCAAGCTTGAAAAACATAAAGACTCAATTAAAAAGCTGAAATGTAAAAAAGAAAAGCCGAATTGTAATGTTGAATAAGTCTCCCAGAAACTCTAGTATAATAATATAGATGAAAAATAAGGGAAAAAAGAAATTTAAAGAACCAGAACGAAGAAGTCCATTATCTTAATAATAGGGAATTTCAGAAAGAGAAATCAGAAGGGAAGAATTAATCTAAGAAATCAAATGATACACTAAAAATATTCTCTAAACTTCTAAAAAGTGTACCCCACCAAAAAATCCAAAATAAATACGTCAGATATGAAGAATCGAGAATCAGGATGGTTCTGGGCTTTTAGAACCTATATAAGAAACAAACAAAGAAAAAACAAAACAAAAGTCATAGTATTGACTTCAACACTTGAATGAAACAGTTTTTACCTTTAATTTTACATCTGAGTACATGTACAGAAGAATACCATTTTCATAAACGTAACATCTCAAAAAACAACACTCACACTTTTTCAAGGAGGATGGAAGATTTCAAAAAAAAAAAAGCAAACCAAGACAAATGGCACAGATACCTGGAGACCAACACAGAAGATGGGCAAAGGGAGAACTTGATCAGACACAGAGGGCAACTAATCTAGATTACAGTGAACCTCAAAGATAGGCATGATGAGGAGTAATATCAGCAAGAACCCAGTAACTACAAACCTAACAACAGAATGTCTGGGAAATACAAGTGAAAATAGAATACCCAATTGTTTTTATTCTTTTTTTTTCTTTTTATTGAGTTTATTGGTATATTTTAGGTATACAGTACAGTTACATTCATTACTGGGATCTTGTACCTCTACGTGACAGGTCTTGGTTCTCATTTTTTCCCTTGTCTGTGCCCTCCCTTCACCCCGTCCTCCTCTCCCCATTTACAAACACTTTATTTCCATTTTTTCATTTTGTCATATTTTTTTTCATTTCCCTTATTATCTTTACCCTACCCTTCCCATTTTCCCTACACCTTTAGCCCTTTTCTTAAAAAGGCAGGAGGAGGGGCTGGGGATTTAGCTCAGTGGTTCTGGCAACTGCCTCTCAAGCACAAGGAGCTGAGTTCAATCCCCAGTACAAAAAAAAAAAAAAAAAAAAAAAAAAAAAAAGGCAGGAGGAGATGAGATATAATCCAAAACTAAGGCGAAAAGATCATCTTTGCATAGGAGCAACTCTGTTACTGAGACTCCTTAGTCTTTAATACAGATGAAGGCAGGCAGTGGGACAATAGTGGAGTTTTCTCTTTCAGTGGTTTTTGTTTTCTCTGTAATTTAGGAAGACAATTTAATTGTTGGGCTGGGTGTAGTTCAATGGTAGAGCCCTTGTTCAGGATGTGTGAGACCCTGGGGTTTGATCCCCAGAATTACAAAAATATCAAAACACAGAAGATAAATAACAAAAACTCTCTTGTTAAGTGTGAAAGAAAAGGGTAAATTTGAAGAGAAGGAAGAAAGTGGAAAATAATTATTAAAATAGCTGGGAAGTCTGAGTTTGATCCCTGGTACTGGAAAAAAAAAAGTAGTGAAGTTAACTAGGGAAATACAGTAGGATGTCTGCACTCTATTCAGGGCCTATTTGGACTGGTTTTTCTGTTAATTTATGATCATGAATTTTCTCTATTGAAAATTTTTTCTTCAGCACTATTTGCTACTTAAACACAGAACAGAAAAAGGGGTAATCTAGATTCATCCAGAGTTGAGATTTCATTCATTTGCAAAAGATTAAAAATTAGCATATAGGTTAAGGAATTACTTAAAAAATGAACTATGAACTACAACCAGGATGAAGATAAGAATAATATCTAAGAGCTTAGGATAATGCCAGGGCAATATTAAGCAATAAAGATAACTAATGTTATTACTAACCATAGTCCTCTAGTAGTAAATGGTTTCATTATTCTAGTTTATAATCATTCATATATACTTATAATCACATAAATATCATTTATTAGATTTAATTTTTTGAGAAAAAATAGTGGTATTATTTGTCTTTGCCTCTTTCAAGGCCTAGTCCAGTAGCTAGCATACTCTGAAATGACCTAATAGATGATGAAATCCCCTGCTTCTAAGCTATCCATATAATTTTTAAAGATTCAAACTAGGGCGTCATCACCCTAACATCTACTCAGAAAAAGACATTTACAAGAAAAGTACCTAAGGACCATTACCAATTCAGTGACGGAAACTTACTAAATAGCTAACAATATGATTGATGGAAGCTTTCCAGTACTACAGGCCATAGAATTAGCATGAGGAAGAAAACAAGATTATACATGAAAAAAATTGAGAATATGTGTTCTCACTTTTTAAAAGCCAGAAGCACAGACCTCCTAAATGATGTATCATTTTGGGGGTGGGGTGATGCTGGAGATAGAACCCAGGGCCTTGTATATACTAGATAAGTGCTCTACCACTAAGCTAGATCCCTAGTTCTTTTCTATTTTATTTTCAAATAGAGTCTTGCTAAATTGCACAGTCTGTATTTAAATTTGTGATTCTTCTTCTTCAATCTTATGAGAAGTTAGGATTATGGGTGGACACCATTATGTACAACTAAATAATGGATCTTCCCTGGTTTATTGATTCAATCTGAAAATCATAGGATTGATTTTTGTGGTGCTGAATATTGGGCCCAGGGCTTTGCACAGACTAAGTACATGATCTACCACTTAGTTATGCCCTCAGGATTTTGTTTGTTTTTGTTTCTGCTTAAGTTAATAAAATGTACATTTACAAGTATTCATGAGGAGATATATCCCATATACATAGATTGAGCATCCTTCACCTAAAAAATCTAAAATATGAAATGCTCTAATGTCTGAAACAGTTCTGGTCCCAAGCATTTCAGATAAGGGATACCCAACTTATAGTTATCAGCTTTGATCAAATGATAAACATATACAGGACATAGAGAATCACAACTTTTTAAGTACAAGCTGTGCTGTAACAGTCTTTAGTAAATGCACTATTTGAAACTGAGTGTACACATTGTTGGGACTTTCATGTCCTTGTAAGTTTGAAGTATTATATAACACCAAATAATGAAGCATCTAAATCTCTAGTTCAAACATGTTGTGGAAAAAGGTATAAAGATTTCTCATCTGGATATCAAAACAATTCCCCATTTCTTGCTATTTTAATCTGTATTCAAACCAGCAGAAGTCCTAACAGGACAGATGATTGGAAAGCGAGATTTCATGCAACAAATAAAAAGAAAGGAAAAAGTTCTGTAATAAAATACTTCTTAGTCCAGTTTGACCTCTTGTTAATGCCTCTCTGTAATCCCCTGGAAGTTCCAGGAAATATCCTGCTTGTACTTTCAAGGAATGAACTTGTGGCTTCTGGACAGAGCTGATCTCTTTCCCAGAGCCTCTGGAGAGAAAAAGAACGCCTGCTCCAGCTGTATCCCATTCTCAACTGCTGATTCTTAAATCAAGCAATTCAAAGCTAGCAATGTGCTTACTGTATAGTCACTAAGAACTATACATTTCATAGGGGTGGGTTGAAAATACAAGAGAAAGACACAATAATCCAGTGTTTTAGCTCTTGAGAAATAAGGCAAGAATGAGACAGAATTCAAAGTGCTAAACAGTTTTCTTTTCCTTCACTTCATTCCCTTTACTCAGTGAAAGTTAAAAATAAATGCAGGATAGATGAGGAAAGACCATGATGAAGTTCAAATACAGAGTGTATTCTAATCTATCTGTATTTCAGAGTAATACTTAAAGTGGAGACATCATCATATAACCACTAATACTGTTTATCCTGTAAACATTTCAAAATCATCAAACACTAATGCAAAACTTCATCTATTAAAGTTATGAAATTAAAAATATCTAACATTTTAAAAAATTACAAATAATCACATGGTTAATGTCCACAATTTTGGTTAAAAAACAATTCAGCTTACCTATGAGATATACTAAAATATTTTTAGTAAAAATATATTTTCCAGAAAATAAGGGTTATCTAACAAAAGATAAAATTATGCTGAAATCTTAGCCTTTCTCTGATGATGCTGCTTAGAAGACAATTGAAGGTTCTGCCTCGCTTCAATTTTATTGACTCATATGAACTAGATCTTAGGAAATGGTGCAAAAGCAGCTTGATAGATTAAGTGTTTCTATATCTTATCTTTTTTTTGTACCAGGGATTGAACTCGGGACCTTGTACTTTCCAGGCAGGCAGCAGCATCACTGAGCTAAATCCCCGGCCCCAGCCCCCTTCTCTTATATTACACAGTATGTCAATCTCATCTTACATATCAATAATACAGCAAATATTTGCTGTGGCTAAGTAATAAAAACATTTTATTATGGTTTGGCTTTAAACATTTTCTTTCTCTCTAAACATTTGATTCCAAATTGTCTGAAACAGGGCCGAGGATTTAGCTCAGTGGTTCCACCACCTGAATTGCAAGTACAAGAACCCAAGTTAAATCTCCAGTACCAAAAAACAAAAACAACCCCCCTACCAAAAAGCAATCAACAAACTGTCTGAGACACAAGTTACTCAAACATTACCAATATAAAACAGCCTTGCTAAAGCTGGGCATGGTGGTGCATGCCTGTAATCCCAGCACTCAGGAGGCTGAGGCAGGAGGATCGCTGAGTTTGAGACCAGCCTGGGCTACTAAGTGAGTTCCAGGGCAGTCTGAACTATATAGTGAGACCCTGTCTCAAAAACAAAAACTAAAACAAAAAAACAATAAAAAACCTTGCTACTATTCAATAGACTCAATCCTATATACCTTACACCCAGCTCATGAGTTGTTTTATTTTTAATAAAGTAAAATTACCAGAGATATTGAAACTGTATTACCTTCATAACATTAACTAAATCTGTTTGATAGTAGCGATCCTGATGTGCATTTGCTGCTGCCAGAGTAAGAAGATAATCATTCCTTGCATGAGTAGCTTTGGAATTACACTCAGATCGCCGGGCTTTTAACTAAAACAGAGTAAAAGAAAAATAAGGTGATATTACACTGTGAAACACAGAAGACTATTACTCTTATTTGGCAATTAGTGGCTCCTGACCAAGAGCAAAGATAATTGTGTAAAAACAATTTATATGCATATAAAATTATCCATCACTATTAAAGAAAGAAACTGACTGGATACCTGGTAATAGTATTTTCAAATATTTGTTATTTACACTTGAGGGGTGTAAATAACTTATATTTTGGCAGTTATTAATATACTTTCAAAGCTTTCTAGAGAACTTCAAAATGTTGTGCTCATTTTATTCAGTTGGGAAGTATCTTATCTTTGAAGACATGGGCAACCCTAATGGAGTTAGAAAATAGTTTTTAAAAAACCAGTACTCCCAACAATCCATGCAAAGAACTGCCAGTTGGTGGGGAGCCTGGCAGCAAAACTAAGTCACTAACCTCATTTATTCTATATTACACAGCTTGAAGGTTTGGCAGGAAAACTCACTTGCACTAGCCCAGAAGACCTGATGAGGTATCTAAGGCTGGAAGAAATTATCCTGTAGGGCTTCCTAATGCCCCTGCACTGACTGTTTCTCTTGGACTCAACAGTTAAAGACCCAAGGCATTGAACATGGCAGGGAAACATTCTTAAAGAAAGGTGTGCCCAAATTTTTAACACCTTGGTTAAAAAAAAAAAAAACAAACAAACATGAATAGGGAACAAAAGTTTCTTCCAGAGTTAATAATCTTAAAATGCTTCTCTAAGGTAGAATTAACCCACTTACACCCCTGAAAGATCCAATTCTTTATTTTATAAGCTAAGGTTTTTTTAATTGTGTAATACACCTTTCAAAAACTCACCTTTACGCTTGCCTTCTGTAAACTGATTCTTGATTGAAAAAGACTAAGTTTAGACCTACAATAAAAATAAATAAAATGTTTAATAAAATTTATAAATTATAAACAACACAATAAAACTACTAAATATTTTAATGACTATTTTTAAAGACACTGTTCTAAAACAAAATGAAAATTAGAAAACCAAGAGCAATGCTTATTTGTCTTTATTTTATTATAGGAAGAACTTAATATAAACTTAATATAAATACTGGGATTCACATAATAAAAATATCCTTAATGAAAAAATATAATTTGACAAAAAATTAAAATACAATGGTATCCCCAATAAACAAAGTCATCTATCTACAGTTTATTCCCAGTATTACAAAATTTCACACACTTTAGTTCTTGTAAGGTTACTTGAAACCCAGGAAAAAAATCAACCTAAGGAGGCAAGGATTACTAGTTTTTCAGAGCTGCATATGACAGCATGTAACAACACTAGGGCATCATCTGCAGGCTCTATGAAGTCTTTACTTCTGTTATTCCCTCCATGAATAGATTTTGTGTCTGTGAGCCTGCCTGTGTGTCCCTGGACTCCTAAAGGGATTCTGAACCTACTGAAAAGGTTCTTGGACTCTACTCAATTTTGTTTTCTCTATTTCATATTTTCCTGCTCTGGTATTATCTCCCTGATCTCCTTAATCAAACAAGAAGTACTAAAAATATGTTTACTCAAACAACTAAAAATGACTATGCAGATAAAGCCAACAAACAGATGCTAAGGAACAAGCAACACTTCCATGATGAGTGATTTTTCTGAAGCTGCAATGTTTGTCTTAACTGTAGTGTAATGGGGATGGCCATGGGAGAGCTCAATGCATATGCTAGTAGCTATGCTTTAATATGAAGTACAGTTGCAGATTGCTTGGAATTGGAATGTGGAGTAGCCAGTCTCTGCATTGCCAATGTGAAAAGGATAGCAAAAGCAACCTCTTATCTTTCTAACAGGAGAGAGAACATTCTGGGATTGAATACACATGCATCCCAACTCTTCCCCACTGTTATAAAAGAAAAGGTTCTAAGATATTCCTGTTATTTCCTATCTTGTTATGTTCATATTTCATGAAGTTTTTTGTTTATTATTCAGATTTCTATTCATCTTGATCTAAAAAAGCAAAGGCCACTCACTTTACAATTTGAGAGTGCCTGTTCAGGTTAAGACAGAATGTGTTTGAGTTATTACCAGTTTCCTTTTTAATATAGTAATTACCCAAATAATCGGAGTTGAATCTAGATCTTCCAATATAAGGTTTAAAGTTTCTGGCTTCTGCTTCACTTGCTAATCTGCATATATTTCTCCTGTGGTAGTAAGGTGTATTCGTGACAGAATAAGACAGTAACTGTCCTGAAAGACTAAACTCTAAGATAGGATTTTCTTTTTTTTTTTTTTTTCCTCATTGAGTTTATTGGTACATTTTAGGGATACAGTACAGTTACATCCATTATTGGGATCTTGTACCTTTATATGACAGGTCTTGGTTCTCATTTTTTCCCCTTGTCCCTGCCCTCCCTTTATCCCTCCTCCCCTCCCCCTTTACAAACACTTCATTTCTATTTTTTTCATTTTCTCATATTTTTTTCATTTCCCTTATTAGCTTTCCCCTACCCTTCCCACTTTCCCTATACCTTTAGCCCCTTGCACATTGTCCATTATATTATTAGGATCTTATGTACTATTATAGTTTATTCACACCAGAGAAACTACTCGGTGTTTACACGTGTGACTTATTTCACTTACGAGTATATCCTCAATAAGTATCCATTTTCATAAATCAAGCACTGTAAGAATAATGAACTATATTGTATACTACTTGTTACTACATACATTTCAAATACTAATTGTCCTTGAGTTTCCAATTCAATGTCACAGTTACATCTCATTGTTATCTGTGACTGTGTATCTGTAACTACAAGCTGATGGGCAAATGACTCCCAAAGTGAGATCCTCAGTCCTAAATTTTTATGTAAGAGAAGATATCCGACTACCTAGAAAACAAAGCCATGCTATTCTCTTCCAGGCTCTTCAGAACCTATACATCCAAAATAAAACTTATCATCTTATTAAAACTATATATCCCTCTTCCTCCTGTGGTTTCTCCTATTGTGCCTTTCTCTCCATCTATTAAGACTACATGTAGTGCCATTTTCAGGCCACCTTCCTTTTCATCCTCTCTCTACTTAGAAAACTCAGGCATTTTTAGAGACTCTATCCAAATTTAACTTCTATAAAAGACTCGTTTATCATTATTTATTATTTATTAAAAAATAAGTCTCTCCATTTTCTATGCTTTTATAACAAACAGTATTTTCATATTTCTACTAAAAATAGTGACTAGCAGAATGACTTCTGTGAAAAAATACATAATAAATTACTTTTAAACATATTTCCCAATTCTAGTTCCAAATTCCTTGAAGGAACAAAATTTACCTTACTTATCTCAGTGCCTATAGTAACCAATATAAATTACTCAATTAACATTTACTGAATGAGTTAAAATATGGAACATTTCTTGCTCTGTAGTTGAATTAATTTTCTAGAGAAGTGAAACACTGAAGTAAAATGTCTCACTATGAATTTGGATCATATTAGAAAGCTGTTCCTTGTGATCAGCTTTGTGAATTAGCCCTATCAAATTCAGAGAAGAACAGCCTGCCACTGTCCTCATTTTCACCTTGTGGGCCATGGCTGAATTAGGTATTTTAAACATGCCCATAAATCTGTCAATTCTCTATTCTGAAATCCCAGCAACTTTAAAAAAACAAGTTCCTAAAAACTACAATGGCAGAATCTCCTAATGAAAACTCCTAATCTAAAAACTTAAGAAGATGGGATCTTCAGGGAAGATAGAATCAAAATACAAATATGAAATATGAAAGTATAGAAACTTTGCTCAAAAATTAAAACAAAAAATAAACAAAATTAGGAAAATGTGAAATAACATCAAGCACTTGATGAGCCTTCATTTACTATCTCTCCATTCTAAATAAACTTTCCAGGAGGCCCTGAATTTTCACAAGATACGTATGAAATTGCTTATGTTTTCTGCAGATAAAAAACGTGTTAGAAAGCCCCCACCAACATGGTTTGTTTGCTTAGTGACCAAAGCATTCTGATTTTATGTCTAGGAGTTCAGCGTAGATTTTTCCATCAGTCAAAACATTGTGAACAGTAAAGCTTCAGTTCTCCTGCTCATAGACCTCTTCAGAGTACAGATCTATAACACTGGTTTCTTTTATTCTCACTTTTTATCAGAATACTTGAAGTTGTCATTACAAAAATCTCCATTACTTGTGTATATCTCTTATTACCAATTGCCAGTTCCTTTTCTTCATTATTCTCAAAAGAAAGGATTGTAATTTTCACTTACTGAAATTGAAATTGACACAATCTCTGAAGCATACAATAAATATATATATGTATGTATGAAGCTGCATGTGGTGGTACACACCTATAATCTCAGTACTCTGGGAGACTGAGGTAAAAAGATTGCAAGCTTGAGACGAGCCTGGAAAATTTAGGATGACCCTGTCTCAACAATAAAATAAAATAAATAGAATGGCTTGGGATGTAGTTCAATTCTAAGGCCCTGGCTTCAATCCCTAGTACAGCACATGAATGAATAAATGAGCTAGAATTTCATGTAAAGTGCTGGGGACAGGATTTCTATATGAAAATAAATACTCTAATTCACATAATATGTCCACAGTCCTTCAGTGGAATTGTGAGGTCACAGGTATTTCTAACTATCACTGACTTAGAATTTAGTATGCTAAAAATTAGGTTCTAAAACCCTGATCATCAGACAATATACCATCTTTAACTAGACTTTGGATAAGCTTTTGAGTCTGTAATTGCAATGATCATCTACTTTCTATAGTGGTTCCTTGGTCTACCAACTTAATTTGTTTTACAATTCTGGGGAAGACAGCTGCATTTGGGTTTGTGCAGGAAAGATGGCTGTGGTCATATCTGTCACCTTAGGTGGAGTTTGCAAATGGAAGTAAAATTTTGTGAAATGCTTTTGTGAGCCAAACTGCAAACAGAAGCATTTGTGATCTGAGGTATTCCTGTATTTCAAAATTTAATGTAATGATCAAATATGAACTTTTTGCTACATTAATATAGGAAAAAATCAACTAAAAGAAAAATATCATCTAAGTGAATGTAGGTCAAACATATAACCAAACATACCAACACAAGAACAATACTATGCCCTATATAAATGAAGAGCAAAGCATTAGCAAAGATAACATTTATTTGTATGATCATTTTCTCAGAAATGCTAAAACACCTACTTTGACTCGATGTCAGCTTTCTCTCGTACTGCATGAGCCATCTGTTCAGTCTCAAAGTACTTCTTTTTGCCTTTAGCTAAGTCTTTCACTGTCTCTTGTAATTCACTTTGGATCTTTGTTAACTGGTCCACACACTGTAAAATACAAAGATGCAATTATTATAATTTTAGTTTTCAGGCTTAAAGAAAATAACTTTGTCCTAAGAATCATGCAAAATGTATTCAGGAAATTCTAAAAAATCAGCACTTTCTGTGTCTGTTGAATTGTAAAGTAAAATCTGGTGAACTGCTGTTATGTCCATCTCAAGTACTGCATCAAATAGTGTCACAGTTTGCCTAGCAATCATGCTTGGAGAAATAGCTGCTGCTGATGCCTGACATTAAGGTAAGGCATAAGAAGAGCAACCCTGAAAAGACTCTTGCTATTGTAGATATCATGGCAATAAAGGCAAAAGAATAAGTAATTTTGTACTTCTTCATAATCTCAAAGTCACTAGTACAAATGCTAAGATAAAAGGAGTAAGAAATGATCCTTCACTTCTCCTAAGGTAAAGGAGTTCTATATATATTTTCTGTAAACCTTTAAAAATATTAAATGTCAAGGATTTTTAAAAGATTATATAGAATTTCAAATTAGAAAGTAATATATTCAAGTTTCTGTTCTGTTATTTTCTATCTAAATCTAACATTTTTTGGCCTGTTTCATCATTCATAAAATAATAGTTACATAGCTGTCAGAGTTATGAATATCAAATAAGACTATAATATACTGGCAGTTTGTGAACTCTAAAATGTAACACAAATGTTATATATAAAAGAATTAATCATAATTCTTTTTCCCTCCACTCCGTGTGTGTGTGTATGTGTGTTGCTACAAATCAGATCCAGAGCCTGGCACATTAGCTCTACCACCTGAGCTATACTTCCCTAGGCCCTAATCACCATTACTTCAAGGGGAGGCAGTAAACTCTAGTATAATGAGAAATATACAGGCAAAGGGATGGCTAAGTAAATACAATAATGGCAAAATGACTTACATTATTGTCTTTTATCTTCTTTGAATTTACAAGCAAACGTTAGCATATAAAGAAAGATCTGGAAAAGGCTGCAGTATAATTATTATAATCTCACATAATTTTAATTATAATATCAGGCCTTTCATAATTGTGGTATGTCTATATTTTCAAGTATTATGAAAAAAATCACCAAAACTAAAGACATTTTTAAAAGGACATGAACTTCGCTGGGCATGGTGGCACACATCTATAATCCCAGCACTCAGGAGGCTGTGGTAGGAAGACTGGGTTGAGGTCAAGGCCAATCTGAACTACGCAGTGAGACCCTGTCTCCAAAAAAAAAGTTGGACATAGCACACACTAGACTTATGTATCTATGAGACCTGGGACAAGGCGGGGATACACCTAAGGGAGCACACAAAACCTGATGCCCCCCCACCCAGAGCATTTGTTGACAAGAAAGAAGATATAAATAGAGTGGTATTTTTTAAAATCTTGAGTTTATTGGTATTTTTAAAGTATATAGTACAGTTACATTTATCTTTGGGATCTTGTAACTTTATATGACAGATTGTGGTTCTCATTTCCCTCCCTTCACCCCCTCCACCCTCCCCTATTTACAAAGACTTTGTTTCCATTTTTTTCTTTCCTCATATTTTTTCTTGTCCCATATTTTCTCTCCCCTACCCTTCCTACTTCCCCTAGAGAGTGGTATTCTTACTCTATTTTGAAACAGAATCTGGGGTTCAGTGACGCCAAAAGAGCAGTAGTAACTTGCAAGGCAATGATCTAGAAAGAAGGGTACTATAAAGAAGCAAGTCCAAAAATTAGTATTCAAGTTCCTCCTGATTTATTAGTTGATTTCTATAGGCATATATGAGGTGAATCCAAATCTCATCTGAGTACAAAGCACCCTCTACTTTCAGTTAAGATTGCAGAAGTAAATAGGATCAGCTCTTAAAAAGCCATACCTTAATAAGGTAAAGTTCTAGCATTCTATCTGCCTGCTTAAGTTCATCCTCTTTAGAAACATCTTGGAAGATTCTCCACAAATTTTATCCATAATATCCAGTACTGTGAAGCACACTAACAAAGATCTAAATAACAAACAAGAAAAATGGCAGACAATAAAAACAAGCCTATTCAGATAGTGAAATTATAAAACAGTTTAGGTTGTAACATGTTTAAGAGGAAAAAGGAAAACTATGGAGAATTGCACCCCAAATATGGAGTATATTTTTTTAAAGTCAAATAAAAATTCTAGAACTGAAAAATGCATTAAGATCCAAAAGATGAATTTTAAAAATAGATTAAAAATAAAAGAACAGAATATCATTGGAAAATATTCAGATTGAAGAATTTAGAGAAAAAAGGGTGGAAATACAGAAAAAATACAAAAGGCAATATAAAGGTAGTATAAACAGAGTCAAAGGTGTAACAGTACTAGAAGTCATAAAAGGAAGATAAACAGAATTATACTGTCAGGAGATTTTTATATTGTTCATGATGTAGTAAAATGCTAATTCAAGATGGATTTTAAAATTAATTTGGAACAAGATTTGGCGAATAGGTTCCCCTTCTAGGTATCTTCATGAAAGAGTTAGTCATCACATCTCAGGAATAAATGCATACCTGGGTTTTTAGCAGCACAATATAAAATAGGTAAATCTTAGAAACAGCCTAGATGCCCATCAACAGATGAATGGATAAAGAAAATGTGGTATTATATACAATGTGGTACTACTCTGCCATAAAGAAGGAAAAATTTTAGGCGTTTTTATGTAAATGGATGATCCTCAATACCATAATTTTTTTTTGTTGTTGTTTTTTGAGACAAGGTCTCACTACGTATTTCAGGCTGGCCTTGAACTCATGGTCATCCTTCTGCCTCAGCCTTCCAAGTTCTGGGATTACAGATGTGTGCCACCACACTCAGTAAGACAATAATCTTAAGTGAAATAAATCAGACACACAAGTTTAAATATTACATTGCTTCTCTGGTGTGAGAAACCAAAAGTATAACTAAGGAACAAAACAGAGGATACATATTAGGAATCAGGAAGAACATTTTTCAAATGGGAAGAGGAACAAGAGATGGAGGAGGGGGAGTAAAGGAAGGGAAAAGGGATTTAAGGAAAAAAGAACTGAAGGGAAAAAAAAGGAAATATAGCCTTTGCAAATGGGTAAGGGAAGAAGAGCTGGTTACAGTGAGAGAAGGGGACAAAAAAAGAATTAAGATGCATTATGTACATGTACAAATTTTTCATGATAAATGTGATCATTATGTACTGCAAATATTAAAAAATAAATTATATAAAAATTTTCGGGAATAATAAAATAACTAATTTAAAGTAATGAAATAGACATTGAAATCTGTATGGTAATAAAAAAATACAGAATTATAAAATTAAGACGCTAATAGTGGAAGCAAAATTGACTGCTTAATATCAATAACCATCAGGAAAATCATAAACAAAATGAAATATATTATACTTAATAGGGTTGCTATTATTTTAGCCAGTCCCCAACCCCCAAAGACAACAAGTATTGGCAGAGTTATAGAGAAACTAGAACTTCTGTAAACTGCTGGTGGGAATGCAAAAATGACGTAGCCATTATCGAAAACAATTCTGGTAGTTTCACTGAAACTTTTGGGAAAATGGAAAGCCTGTAAGTGAAATTTACAAATCTGGCACTTTGGGGACCACAATGTAGAGAAAGCCACTGGAGAAAACAGAGCTAATGGACAAAAAGAAATAAAAGAATGATTTCTGAAACTATCAACTGAGCTTCTGGATCTGCCAATGATTAAAGTTTTAGAATTCAGTTATGTAAATGAATATATTTCTCTTTTTTGGCTGAAGACAGTTTGAAAAAACTTTTTGTCATTTGCAATCCCAGACTCCTGACAGATATGCCCAACATATACTTAGTGTTCAACAATTGCCTAAACGGAACATAAACACCAGTATTATCAGCTATAATATAAAAAAGTTAATACACAGATAAGAAAATCATTAAGCCTCAACAAACATTCTTTGCCCAAGAATGTTGGTTAAATTCAGGTCTAAGAGTATTTCACTAATGGAAAAATATGAGACAGAGGTAAATTCTTTTGAAACAATGTTTTATTAGCATATATTTGTGATACATAATAATTACATTCATCTTGGGGAACTGGTAATATCACATTTTGATAATTTTTACAGTGCCCTTCATTCTCCCTCTTTCCTCAGATCTTAGTGAAAAAAGGGGAAACTTTCCAGTACTTCAACTAGATTTGGTAAATGCACTGGCAACTGAAACAGTATTTTCTTCCTGTTAGGAAGTTATACTAGTATTAATTCTCTCCTCCTACCTTCCACTCCTCTTTCTGCATAAATGGAGACACACACACACACACACACACACACACACACAAAGATGCACATTTTTTCCAACGTGAAATCTTTAATTACTGGTCACATAGTTTATTCACTATGTTTACTTTGAAAGAAATAATAATGGTGATGATAAGACATAGGCATTCTTAAGCAAATATGTTTAAATCAAATGATATTAAGTGAATACTATAATTAAAAATTTATATATACATATACACACTTAACATATTAATGTCATGCTACTTCAATCATATTTGGCAATCAAAGATTAGTTTTTAAAATTTCTTCAGAAAATCCAAATGACAATTAGAATCAAAACACTGGATGCCTTCTGAGATAATATTTCCTTAATTACTCTAGTATTTTCTGAAGTATTAACATTTCTACTTTTAAAACTTTCATCATGATGTCCTCCATTTTTGTTATATAGAAAAGTGATTTCTAAGTGTTTACTGAGCTTTACCAATTTCTATAGATTCAAATCACACTCACTTTTATCAGCTAACAAAATACAGAGCATGAGCATGTCGAGAAATTCTAGTAAAATGACATCTATAAACATTTGTGATTCTATTTTTAAAAAGCTCAAAGTTTTAAGTTCAATTTAGCTAATCTTATACAACTATAGCACTGAGATATTAAAATATATGTAAGAAAGGAACAGAAATAGAAACAATACCCTTTTTAGTTGTTGTTCTTTTACACTTCTCACTGCCCTTGCTGGTTCAGAAATGAAGTTTTTATAGTTTTCACATATATTGATCCGAGATTGGGCCACCTGCATTGTTCCCTCGAGAAAAGATTTCCAAACAGGATACATACTCCTAAATTCAAAGAGGGATGGAAAAATATTAGGCAAGGGAAAGGAAGAAAAGTTGACTTTTGTTCATTCTCTAGCACTGATAGATTATTTTCTGTATAACTATATTTACACTGGTTTACAAGGCAACATTTCAACACACAGAAAAACACAGCATATACTCTATTCCTCTATAGTTCAGCTACAGGGAATATTGATTAACTGGCTATTCTTAATAATAGAGTAAAGGGATGTAAGGATTACAACTAGAGACAAAGCTAACACTATAAAAATGGCAGGACTTTAATGGTCACAGGGTCATTATTATGAATATCAAATTTTATTACTTGATTAAGGTATTTTCTTACTTAACAGGTGAGATAAGTGAGCTTCACAGAGATTTAGAAAATAACTCTTAGGTCACACAAGAATACATCGGTATTGAGATAAGGATGAAGGCTGGCAACATCTAAAGTACTTCCTCTTTTAATTACATTGTCTTACATAAACTAAAATGGCTGGAAAAAACTGTATCATGAACAATAGTTCATGTGCTTGAGAAGTCTATATTGCCTAAACAACAACAACAACAACAACAAAATCCATGGTATTGTCGCTCTACATCTGTCTCTCTGTTCTAACATAACTTAGCCAGCATCATACTGTGCTTTGGAGTAATTCCAAGTAAGTACCACCACCTTGCTTGAGAAATGTGCTCAACAATCTCTTGAGTAAAGTCCAAGAATTATTCGCTCTTTGCTTTTTCTAGGCAACTTCCTTTTCTTTCTTTCTTTCTTTTTTCTTTTTCTTTTCTTTTTTTTGATACCAGGGATCGAACTCAGGACTTTGAGCTTGTGAGGCAGAAGGTGACACCACTGGACTAAATCCCTGGCCCAAGCCAACTTCCTTTTCACACTTTCTCTCCTAATTTACTAGTGCCTTAGCCAATTCTAGCATGGTCCTTTAGTAGTTATAAACACATTTTTATAACATCATAACAATGTGTGGTACTGTATTTTTGTTTGTAAAGATGAGACAGTGAAATTTTGATGCACTATAATATTCATCTGCTGAGATTTCCCTTCTGGTGTTCATATGGACTTTCTAATATAGCAATGTATGGGACCATATGCTATAGAAAATGCTAGCCATGGGTCAATGGATGACAAAGTGAAAGGAAGAAAAGAAAAACTGCCTGGGTCTCTAACCTAGTTAGAATTTTTAAAAATTGAAAAACTATACTTTTCAACCAAGGAGTCTTAGAAACTAGTCTTCGTAATAGAGCAAATTAACAAGTTTAGATGGAAATATTTTATTTAGGCAGAGATATATATTATCTCTTTGAAAAGATTCAGGAGCTAAACTGCATAAAAGTACTGATGGACCAACAACAACAAAACTGGCATCCTCATGGCTGGACTGCATGACAACTACTGGGACTTAGGATACAAATTCCTGAACAGCCCAACTAACTGATTTTCCTAAGAAATGTTCTGAGAGAAAATCTCAGTTCTATATTTAGTAACTTTTAATTTGTATTTAAAATACATTTTAAGATCAAAATGAAAAACAACTATTATGAATTGTGATGGCAGAAAGGGAAGAAAGAAGGGAGACAGGGATCCTGCATTTATGTTCTCTAAGTGTAACAACTTCTTCCCCTTACCTCTTCATCTAGTTAATGTTCATCCTTCATATCTCAGCTTAAATACAACTTCCTTTGTGAAGTCTTTCATGATCACCACTAAGCCAAGCCCCAGAGTCAATAAAGTATCTTCCTTTCCTTTGTTATTTGTTCATGTCTTTAGCACTTTTCCTTTAATTAAAAAATTCTTGGTTTTTGGTACCAGGGGTCAAACTCAGGACCTTGTGCTTGCAAGGCAAGTAAGGTGCCACTGAGCTAAATCCCATGTCTTGGTCAATTAAAAAATTCTTTAGCTGCCTGCCTCACAAGCGCAAGGTCCAGAGTTCAATTCCCAGTACCAAAATGTTTTTTAGCTAATGTTCTTTCTTCTCTCTACAGTGATAATTCCATGAAGGCAGGGGTGTGTGTCTTGCTGACAATTGTATTCCTAGGGCCTAGCAAATATAGAATGGCTACAATGAAATGCGTTGAATGAATGGATGAATGTATAAAATAATGACAACTGCAAAATAAAGAGAAATCCTTTCATCATAAAGAGAATTAAAAAAAGACCCCAAATATATCCTAACAGTGAGGAACCATAAAAAACATGGAATTAAACTACCAGTCAAAAAAACCTGGACTCAAGTTCTAGGTTAACCAATATATGCAGCATACCTCACTATACTTTCATTTTCTCAAGTGGAGAAATAAAAATACTGGGCTTCCAGGCCATGGCTCCTTCTTGTTTTACCCCTATCTCACTGGCCATGCTTCAGTTTTTGGACCTGTAATGCTGCAGTGCCCCACAATCAATGCCCAGCTTCTTCTCTTCTCCAAACTCTTCAAATGAACTCATCCAAACTCATGATTTTAAATACTCTCATTGTATTGACTGGCCCTGAACTTTTAATTCCTGACCACACATCTCCCTAACCCTCAACTGCGCACATTAAGTAAGCAATAGATATTTAATAGGTTAAATCTAACATGTCCCCACAAAAATTCTTTATTTCCCTAGACTCTGGTCGGACAATCTGTCTCGCCAACATTTCCTTTAACATACTTGCTCAAACCAAAATCTCAGAGACACCATAGATTTCTCCTTTATCTCTAACATCCCACTTCTGTTTCATCTTGTTTAAGCTCACAAAATAAAATCTGATTTAGCTTATCCCCTCTACTGTGACCACCTGTACCAGTCTCCCAATTGATCCCCTGATGTCTACACTCCACAGTGTATACTGCCCTTTGGTAGTCTGTGTTCACCATACTATATATTCACCAACTGCACATAAAATTATTCAGTGGTTTACTATCTGTCTTCCTTCACTAGAATGTAGGCTCCATGTCATAACAGCTTTGTTTTACTCACCATTTTACCCTAAGATCTAGATAAGGATATGATATTGCAGGTAGGAGAGGAGGGAATGATGGAGCCCAGATTTAAACCCAGACATATCTGACTATCAAAGTTCTTCTCTTCTGCTGACATAAGACTGCTTGTGGTGTCAGTAACAAGACAAAAAATGGTCTTGAACATTTTCATAAAGGTTTACTGAGTCCTAAGTCCTTTGTGCATGGCCTACACTATTTTTGTCTTATATCTTCTATACCATTTTTTGTTAAACTGACACCTTTTAAGTTAAAATATATGTATCTTACTTTATTTCACTATTCTAAGTGAAAAAACAAACACTAGCCATAATTATTATAACTAGTAAAATAAAAAATATTTATCAACACATCACCTAAGATCATTCTGTAAAGTGTTTCTTAAAAGAATATCACATTGGAAAACAGACAAAACCTTTCCAAAAATAATTTTTCATGGTGAAACAAACCAAAAAATTTATCCTTTCTGTGGTGGTGGTCACATGAATCTACACCTGTGCTACAGCTACACAGAACATATGCACACATGTACATGCACACAGATGAATACACACAAAAGACAGAATATAAACTACACTGGCAGGCTGTCTCACTATCAATTCCCTGTTTAGTTTTTTGAGACATAGTCTCACTATGCAGTTCACTCTGGCCTTGAACTCACTATGCAACCCAGGGTGGCCTAGAACTCAAAACCATCCTCCTGCCTCAGCTGCCCCAGTGCTGTGACAGGTGTGCATCACCATGCCTAGCCATCAATTCCCTGATGTGATACTGTATAACAGTTATGGAAAATGTTACCGCCAGGTGAAAAATGAAGAGAATTTTTTGTATTATTTCTTGCAATTTTATGTGAAGCTACAATTATCTCAAAATAAAATTTTTCTTAAACCCATAGATCTTCTCTAGACCTAGAAATAGTTACCTTCTAGTACTGTACATGAGAAGATGTAAAAAAATGTAGTAAGGTCATAAGGAACATTAATTTATACAGAAATCGATGATAAGGAGTAGATATGTTGTCTGAATAAATGTTCTGTACTATTGTGCTTGGCAGTTGGAAGGGAGAATGTCTTAAAGTAGCAGAAGCAAAGGCAGGAAGAAGTCTGACTGCAGTCCCAGTGAGCTATGTTAAGAACTGCAGCACAAATGCAGCTGAGGCACCCAAGGGTTATGCAACAAGGATAAATGGACAGACGAGGCAGGTAATGTGGAACCAGGTTTCTTCATGGCTTTGAGTATCATAAAAAAGAAATTAAATTTCATCCTAAGTAGTAAGGAGAAACGAAAAGATTTTCAAACAGGGAAGTAACAGTAAACCTATTTTATAAGGACATAAAGATAGCTAAGATAAAAGATGAAGATAGTTTGTTACACTGTTGCAAATGGAATTGTGAAGACAGATAACAAACAGAGGACCTGAGACATTTCAGATACAAGAATATGAGATCCAGAAAGCTGATATTGGAGAGAGTTGACTCTTTTTCAAGTTGAAAGTTAATAAAAATAAGATTACTGCTAGTTTACAGACAATAGCAAAGCCAGGAATATAGATAAGATCACTGAGAGAGTCAATGGAAAGCTGAGAGAACTTTGAGAAACATTTAGAAAAATTAAAAAACAAACAGGTCAAGGAGAAACTAGTGTGGCAGAAGTCAAGGTTCCAGATAAATGGGAGTGGTTTCATGGCATTAAATGGTGCACATATTATCAGATAAATCCTTTAAAAGAATGATCACATGCAATGTTGGTAATAAGCAAATAAATAAATATAAAGGGGTAAATTTAAATTATTTTAGAAGAAATGTAAATTATATTGATATAAAGCTTATAAAGGGGAAGATCCAATATCAACATTTTCAATATAAACCTTTTACCCTACATTTCTCTCCTCTAAAAATTTATCCTACAGATGTACACATACTTCCAAAGCATACAAAGATATACCTATATGCATACAGGAATTATTTATTATAACATTATTTGTAATAATAACAAACTAAATACCAATATGGAAACTAACAATAAAATCCATACTATGACTCTAAAACAGCCATTAAAAAGAACGAATACAGTGCCATGAAAGGTTGTCTAAAACAGACTCCATAGCGTAGGGAGGCAGTTTACAGAAACATATATAGAGAGTAATTCCAGTTCTGCTTAAAAAATAAAAAAAGCAAAACTGCATATGTTCAGGAATAAATCAATTACATTGGAAAAAATGTCAAAGAAAAGACCACATTGTTTTTATAGCAATCACTCCAAGGAGCAGAAAAGCAAATGAAAGACTTGGGAAAGAGGATGAGGCTTGATTTTATATCCTTTATGCTCTTTTGAATTACTTACCTACTTACTGAAAAGCACATAGTACTTGGATTAAACTACCAATAAAAATATAAATTAAAAATTAAGCAATTGAACATGTCTAAAAACAAAGCAAAATTGAAAAAACAAAGACAAAATTGAGAACTGGCATTCTCATCCTCAATTCTGATCTTTCTACTGTTTTTTTCCAGAGTGGTGCCACTATTCTCTCAGCTGGCTAAATTAAAAAACCTGCAAGTCATTGTGTAATTCTTCCTCCTCTCCTCCTGCTTCACTCATTCGGTCAGTAGATATTTATCAAGTGCTTTCTATGTGCCAAGAGCTTCTTGAAATACAAAGAAAACCATTTACCAGTTTATCTCAAAACAAATTTGACAAACTAAACAAACCAAAATTCTGCCAAATCAGCTGACATCCTCTAGCTTCAGTTTCCTAAATATCTCTCCTAAACCTTATTGTTCCTATATTTCCATGGTTCAAATAAGAGATGATGAAAGACTAAGTTCCTGAAATTTTATTTTTCCTAAATTCTTCTTCATACCACTCTAATTCACTTTCATGTTATGATTGTGGGAAGCTGATGTTATCATTCATCTTGGAAATACTTCAATGATCCATTATTTTCCAAATACAAATATAAATTCTATAATACAAGTCTATAATACAATATACTCTATAATATGCAAGTCTTTTATGATGCCTATGTATTCTCCACATTCACCTCTACTTACTCACCAACCCATATACTTTATACTAGCCATACTGAAGTGCTCACCATTACTTAATATTCATATTTTATCATGCTCCATGCCTTTAAAATGTTACTTCTGCTTAAAGTTTCTTTTTCCAACCTATTTGCCTGAAGAAAGACTAAACTCTACAAACCTAGGTTTTCCACTGTGGATGTACTTCTGTTACTCCTGATATTGCAACTATTTACAGTGGCCATCTCCTATAAGTTCCTTAAAGGCAAATACTATCTTTGAGTGTCTCTACCCTCTAACATTTATTTTAACAAGTGACATGTACTGGGTATTTCAGTGGTAAATCATGAATTATGAAAGAATGAATGTTTAAATAGTCAGTGTGACCTTGAGTAAGGGATATAACCCAAGACCTAGCATACTAGCATATAAAATGAAGATAATCATATCTATTTCACAGGGTTTAATAATCATGGGATATGAGTAAACATTCCTAGCATAATAAATATTTGGTAAATTTTGGATTAAAATGCTTTTTAGAATTAGGTTGTATAAGCTAGCCTGAGAACATAGTCTTTTATTATTTCTTTTGTAACTTGAATTGTGAATTTCAAACAAATGTGGAATATAGCTTATCCATAAATTAGAGTCCTTTATTCCCCAACAAGCAATCTCTTTCTTTGTCAGGATGACTTTCTCAGATGAGCAATAAGAAGTGTGCTCTCTTGCCTCAGGTTAGTGTTCCAAATTTCTCTTTTGCCTAAAATTTCATCTCTCCCTTAGCTGAAGTTTGTACATGCAAGATAATCTCTATTTTTATTTTCTATATACCGCTCTGTTATTTATAGCTATTGTGTCACCTTCCAAGTATAGTTTGCCACTGTGGGGAACTATTAGGGTTTCTTCCTTCAGTTTCCTAGCAGCATTGTCATAGTATTAAGAAACTCTCTGATGTCAGTCTTTCCTGATAAACCAACAGCTTGATTTCTTTGTGTTTGTTTGTTTGTTTGAGACAGGGTTTCACTATGTAGTTGAGACTGACCTGGAACTCACTATGTAGCCCAGGCTGGTCTTGAACTCAAAGCGATCCTCCTGCCTCAGGCTCCCGAGTGCTGGGATTACAGGTGTGCGCCACCACGCCTGGCTCCAACAGTTTGATTTCATAGTCAGACTCCGAACCATAGACTTCAATACTGAGTTCTTAATTACCTTGCACTCTCAACTATTATTTTATGGGTATTAGTCTTAAACTCCAACCAGATTGCAAACTCGTGGGTCCCATACATGAAAGACAGCCCTCAGCACAAAAGACAATAAATACTTCCAAGACCCCCAAAAGCCATTCAATTTTAAATAAAATTACAAGCACTTTTAAGATATTAATAGGTCACTAAGGACACAACTTATATTTTCCTATCATCTACCTTCTTTAAAATTTGTATAAGAGATACAAGTAGCTAACTTCTGGACATCATGTTTATACACACATACATATTTCTAAAGTAAGTATTTTACTATAAAGGAAGCTCTTTTCATTAAAATACATTACTTAGAAACTTTTCCCCTAGTCTTACGAACTTCACCTTTCCAAATTCAGAATTTATTTCAGAAGTAAAGAGTACTGATTATGAGAGTGCACTATAATCTTGTTTTACTATTATTGCAATAATTTATTTCATCACTGGTCACTGAGAAAATGTTCCACTGACATCTACCTTCTTTAAGTTCCGTATATGGGTACTGAACTAAATGATATACAACTTTAGCTTAAGATACATGTTATAATTCACAGAGTATGTACAAATGTTATGGAACATAAAAACTGTTTATAATTTTGAGATAACATTTAAAAACACAGCAAAGAAATAATTATTTTAAAAAGTAGTGTGTCACATTCTCTATATGTGAGACAGCTCTTAATGGAGCTCTTTTGAAAGAAAATAAGCAAAAGCCACTTGGTAAGTTACCTGTAATCATTCCGATCATCAGGTTTTATTCCAGGCCAATCTCTCTTCAGGTACTGGCTAGTCAACTTCTGGATACCCTG